GTGTGTGTGTGTAAGACCAGAGAATATCATTCATGCCACTGTCAAACTTGAAATAAAAATAATGATATTTACTTATGAGCAGAGTTAAAGAAATAAAACTTGTCAGCCTCTGATGCTGCAAACAAAGATGAGTTTCCCTTATACAATAATATGTGTTGTGTCTCCCTCTGCAGGAGACTGTTGGTACCACATCCCCTCCCCATCCAAACAGAAGTTGAAGCAGGTGTCTGTCGGGAGGACATCAGTCTACACTGTAGATGAAAATGGTAAAGCAATTGCGGTTGTATTTACACCTTGCAGTCATACAAACATTCATTTTGATAGATAGATACTTGATATACCTGATACTTATGTTTCTTATTAGGCAAATTCTGATTATATGTCCGATGTGGCTATTTCCTGTCCAGGTAACCTGTGGTACCGGCAGGGCGTGACCCCCAGCTACCCTCAGGGCTCTTCCTGGGAACACATCTCTAATAATGTACGCAAGGTCTCCGCAGGTCCTCTGGACCAGGTCAGTACCAGGATCTCAGTACTCGAATATTGCTGCATTCATGTGGTATTGGAGTAATAGGAAAAATCTGTTACCTGACTAGGAAAATTCCCCCCCTTAAGTTGGAACAACAACTCAGAGTCTGTGAAAATTTTGGCACACTTGCTGAATTGACGTCATATCACACAGAAACATGGAGGACTTTTTCTTATCATCCATTTTCACAAGCGATACCATACTTTTAAGCAAAGACGGTTTTATGATTTACATGCATGTTTGAAATTAATCATATTTCATGGCTCGCCTGATCCGTTACCTTCAAAAATACTGGAAACAACGTGTTGTTTAAAGGCTTTAAACAGTAAAATACAACACATCTGCTTTGTAGTGACCACATTGTTTCCACATTACGACTTAAAGTGCATGAACACACAAAAGTCTTAACAATGACTTCCTAACACAGGAAATGGGATCATCCAAGGAGCATGTAAATGCACCTTATGGAACTTCTTTCACTGGTCGCCTCTCTTACTGTCTACACTGAAGTAAATGATAGGTGTGGATGTGCCAGTCTTCATATTATATATATCAGCAGTTCTGAGCATGAGAATGCTGTGGGTAATGAATAATGAAGTTCAGACATGGCAGTTGGAAGCGTCTGACAGGAAAGTATGAAAAGTATATTATTCAGAAAGTATGTGTGAACACATGAATCCACCAAAATCCTCATAAGAAATAACACTGAGGTTATAAACAACCCTTGTCTGTTGTGTTGTTGTGGGTGTGTAGGTGTGGATCATAGCGGACAAGGTGCAGGGCAGCCACAGTTTGAGCTGTGGAACGGTGTGCCATCGACTCGGAGTCCAACCTCTGGAGCCTAAAGGACAATCGTGGGACTATGGCATTGGGGTAAGGCGCCAAAAAAACAAACTATGTTCAGGGTATCTGCATGTCCTGAAAAATCTTACAATCTATCTTCCTGTCTTTCAGGGTGGATGGGACCACATCACAGTGAGAGGGAACTCCATGGAGCCGCCCCGGGTCCATCTTCCCTCTCTAACAGAGAGGATCCCCCTCACTGTCAGGAACACGGAGATCAACAGCAGTGCTGTGGGATGCTAGACACACACACACACACACATAGGCAGACACATACTGTACATAGACATCCTAAATATTAGCTTTGTAGTAAACCTTTGTAGATAATTTCACCCCAGACAGCCTTTAGTCTTCACGTCACTGCAGCTGTCGTAACAGAAAGATTTTGGGGTGTTCAGAACAATCTGAAATGCTGAACTGAATTTGTCTCCTTCTCTCTGAAGACAACCTCTAGTCTTATGGTGTGTGTGTTGTTTGTTTTACTAAACATTTATCTCCTCTGTACCAGCATTTCTGTTTAATTCTGTCTGCCATTGCTGTTTTTGTTCACTGACACTGAACTTGATGGTCTTAATGTATTTTTCTTATTTATTCATTAGAATATGATGTTTGTGTGGTTTCTGTGTATAGATTATCACATGTAAGGTGAAGGCGGAAGGGAGGCTTTGAACAAATGTGTTTTTTGAAAAGGGAAAAGAAATAGTGTACTTAAATGACAGCGGCTTAGCTACTGAACTGTCAGCTCCAGGGCTGGTATTGTGTATAAAATAAAAATAGATGTTTAATCTTAGCCTGTAGTCAACAGGTTAACACATGTTCCAACAGAGTAAAGCCTGATTACTCTGGAAACAGAAGAATTGATAACTGGATAATACAGACAGGACAATGTTTGATCCATGTCTGCTAGTCTACACTGGTGTAAACATTTAAACTACTGACTGTGGAAAAACATGGATAGCAGCTGTTTCTAATTTAGTAGGTTTTTGAAAGGACTTCTTGAAGCTTAAATTCGTGTTTATTGTTGCAACAATGCTGCCAGTTGTTTTGAGGAGAAAATCCAATTTAGGGTAATGTGGTGAAACCTGTGTGAAGTAGAGTTTGAGGGCAAGAAGGCTGTTTTAAAGGTCCAGTGTGTAACATTCAGGAGGATCTATTTTCAGAAATGGGTATGCAAAAGTACGTTTTCGTTAGCGTATAATCACCTAAATAAAGGAATGATTGTGTTTTTGTTACCTTAGAATGATGCTGTTTTTATCTATGGACACGTGGGTCACCTTCCAAACCAAACACTGGCTGTAAATAGGGCCTTTCGTGTTTTTTGCAAGTTTCGTGGCCACGGTACTTCCTTCTACACACTTAACAGCCTGTTCTCATTCCCAGGTCATTAAATAGAGATGAGCGCAGTGTTCAGTTAGTTGCAGTCTGCAACTTCACCACTAGATGCCACTAATTCTTACACACTGGTCCTCTAATGGTACAGACAAGACCTTTTAACTCCTTTTAACTTTTAACTAAAAACAAATATTGACCTTATATTTCTTCAGGGAATTTGGAGGTTTTCCAATTAACTTCCAATACAGTTAGATTTTTGTTCTCATTTATATTATGGGGGTTTTTTTGAAGCCAGAACATAGAAGCTGTAACAAGTCTTGCACTGGGCTTTATTTACCTGTGGTGGAGTGATGTTTTATATAGATTTTAATTTTGTTTTGTAAAATATGGTGTCATTCTTCTGTTGCTGTCATAGAGCATGTGCAATGGTTAGCAATGTAAATAAGTTGGAAATTATGGATTACTTGTAAAAGTCTTGTGGTAAAATGCTACTGAACCTTCCTCTTTCTCAGGAGACTGTTTGCATTTGCACACCGCCTACTTCCTTTGGCCTGATGGTAGAATGACTGAGCAGGGAGAGAAAAAAACGTTAAAAGAACACTATATTTTTGTTATAAGTCTGTAAGATATTATTATTATACAGCAAGTATTGTGGTAATATATAAGATGAAGTCGTGTTTGTACATTGAACAAAGAGCAATGTATTAAAAAAGACATATTTCCATTAAGACATATTCATTACCACATACACTGATGAATTGCATCTGTTCAGGCATTAATTTATGTTAACGGCTACCTAAATTACACCATATTTTCTAAATATGATGCAGCATTTGGAAATGTTAAAAGTGTACAGAGCTCTGTCTGTATTATCTGTGAATAACTGTTACTGTAACACATCAGTGCTGTTGAACTTGTGGAGTACATTTCTCAAGTGTTGTGCATGGTCAAAATAACAGTCCTTGTCAATAAATAAATGTGTTTATTGATAATAACTCTTGAAATAGTTTCTCTTCTCCTCTTTTTCACTACAGCGTCCTGCCGCAACACACAAAAAGTCAAATAACACGCACTTTAAATCATCTGGGACTCCAAGCTATGGGCACACAACCTTTAAGAAGACAAGTAAATCAACTGTCAACTTGCCGGTAGACTGTCCTCATCAGCAAATAAGCAAACACACTTTCTAGCTCCAACATTTAAATGTTTTTACCCGCTGCTTGCATTTCTTTTTTTTCCTGAATGTGACAGTTATGACTCGAGGCTACAATGAGCAGGTTTCTCAACAGAAAACACACAAGAAGATCACAAGATTAAACAAAAGAGAGTTCCTGCTCAGGCTCATATCAAAGAAGACGAGAAATAAGAGACAATGGCAAAAGATTAGCCCTTCTTTTCTGAGCACAATAACACATTTCACTCTTCATAACCATGATCTGTCTGGGTTTCACAGTCTGCAGTCTTTGTGTCTGCAAGGTGAATGGTCCTCAAATCCTTCCATATTTTGTATGAAGGGCAAGTTCTACACAGCCCACCTCTTGCTTTGGTCAAGCATGGGTTTATTGACAGAGGTCTACGATCTGCCACAGCACCGGGTTCCTACAGTGAACAACACTTGACCAGATCCCAGAGTGATGCGCATGTAAGAACTGGATATAGTTTGAGATTTGGCCCTAAAAGTCTACCCAGGCCTCTGTGACAGCTTCCTGGTGGCTCTCCTGGTCTCAAAACCACATTGCAGCCACTGTTAGCTGCGCTTGCTGAAGTTGTGCACGTGGGTGAGGTACTGGGTAAGATCATCCTCCCCATCCTCCTCCAGGTGCTGCTGGTAGCATTGGAGCAGCTTGGCAGCGCTGGACTCTGAAGGGTCCCCATCAGCAGGCAGGCAGGCCCCTGACATGTCCAGGATGATGGTGGTTAAGGATTTTATGTAATTCTTTGCCAGGGTCAGTGTCTCGATCTTGGACAGCTTCTTGTCAGTCTTGACGTGAGGGATGGCCTCGCGCAATGCTTGGAAGGCGTTGTTGAGCTTGTGCATCCGCTGGCGTTCCCGCTCATTGCTCTCTAGCCGCCTGACGCTGCGTTCCTTTTTGCTGGAGCCATGTTGCCTACGTCGCCGGCCTCCACCCTTTCCTCCTTGGCGCTTGCCTGCCCTGTCCCTCAGCGACCCCCTCCAGGAGCCGCCGATCCGCACCGAGGCCTCCGAGCCTTCCTGCTCACTGGAGCCTGGCTCTGTGTCAGGTTCAAGTTCGGGCTCGGGGTCAGACCAGGTCCTCCTGGATGGTTTCACAGCCTTCCCTTTGGACTTCATCCTGCTGCCTCACTCTCTCTTAAACAGTACAGATCTCACAGCTTCAACAGGCCTGCAAGAAAAGAGGGCAATATTAGAGAAAAAAAAAGTGGCATTTTGACATAAAATCAAAAATAAATTTTAAACAGTCTTCTACTAGTCAGCCAGTAATCCCCAAGCACTGAATAATCCTCTCTCCAATTCAAACAGCCTTGCATCCTGTTGTATCTAATCAGCCTGTTGCAGTGAGAAAACTCCATGATGTTGGTCTGTTAATCTACGCCTCTCTTATCCCCATGCTCCTGCGATAATGTTCATTTCAAGGTTACACTCACAAAAACAGAGGCCAGCCAGTGCAGCTTTCAGCTAATTCACCTCCAGCACTCCTTTTTACCCAGTTTGTCAATGAAAGTCACCATGTGGATTTAACATAATGAGTAAGCTCAATTCACAAGCAATGGAAATGTCTTTAAACCAAATGATATAAAATATGCTGCTATAAGTCCTAAAACTTAAAAGATAAAGCTGTTTTACATAGATTAGAGCAGGTAATGAAAATATGACATGCAGCCTAAACTCCATCCTTCTTTATTTCCCTAACCCCAGTTTCACCACACCAACGGTAGTGTTGTAACTGATAAGCAGACACACAGGCAGTACAGTCAGTAAATGATACACACACTGTCTGCAGCCATCAAAGTGAATGAAACAGGACGACATAATGTCAGAAGACTTACCTTGGAAGTTACAAACACTAACTTTCCTCCCGAGTGTTTACAGAAACTCCGTCCCCATGCAGCCGCTCATCCACAGCACCATCGCGTAAAGAGCAGAGCGGAGCCGTGCAGCACACACACACACACACAGTCTGATAACTGTCACATGTGAGCTACCTGTAGCTGACTGATGTACACGTAGCGCTGCTCAACCAATCACAGAGCCAGCCCTCTCCCTCCAGCTCTGTGCTCGCTCTCTCTCTCTCTCTCATTCTCAATCCTTCTCGTCTCTCTCTCTCGCTCTCTCTCTCTCTCCCAAATGCTGCAACAAGTAAAAGTCTCATTCAAAGTTTTACTTAAAAGTTAAAAAGTATCAGCAGCATAATGTACACAGCATACTCACCATGGCCACTGGCTCCAGTCTGTTGTTATCACACCATAATGACTGATGCATTAAGCAGTCACACTCATTTTAACTGCTTTATATACCACAGGGTAGTTTAATCTGTAGCAATGCAACATATTTTATAAACTGACTGAATGTGTACAATTGAAAAAGTACAGCGTTTAAACAAATGTAGTGATGTAAAAAGTACAGTATTTCCCTCTAAGTGGAGTAGAAGTATAAAGCAGCACAAAATGGAAATACACAAGTAAAGTCAAAAGTGTATGTGCTTGAGTGAATGTACATACATAAAATGTAAAGGAAATGTCTTTTCCTTCCAAATATCATTATACCTGAAGTAGAAACATCACAGAGTCATTCTCCATTAGCACCATGGCGTTGCATCGTAGGGTTACAGTCTCCTTTAAAAGCCACTAAAAGTAATTTACATGAATGTATGTGATTTGAAGGAAACAAAATTAAGTTGCAAGTTTTGTAGTAAAAAGGGGACACTGCAGATGATGGGTGGAACTCTATCTAATATTTAAGAAACAATTATGGCCCCATTTGTAATATGACTTTAAAAAATGTCTTTCTGTGTTCAATTTTTGAACTACAAATAAATGTAAATGTCATGATGATGATGATGATCCATTGTACCACTCTAATACATGTTGTATTCCTTCAGTGTTCCTCAGTATTTTTCTTCAGTTTGAAGCAGCGGAGGCCAACTGATTTTCTTGGCCTATTCTAAGTCAAATGAGACAGTTAACAGAGACAGAAACCATGTGTTTTTGTTCCTCATGCACTCCTTTAACTCTAAGCAGTTAACATCATTTCCATTGTGGCTTATCGCCCTCCACGGCTTCATTTGAATACAGTCCTCCAGGCTACACCTGAATGTATAGAGGCAGGGCCAGGCCTAATTTAAACTTTGTCACGTTATTTACTTTTTACCGGACTAACAAACTTTTTGCAAAACACTGTTGTTTTTCCTGTAATGACAGCTAACAGATGCCATCAAACTACTGTACTGATCAAAACGGCCAAAAGAAAAAAGGACAGAACACACATAACACAATAAACCTTTTTAAATAATGACCAGCAAACACACCCCTTCCCCTCTTGTGTGTGTGATCTGCTGTATCCTGCTGCCTTGTCTGTTTGACCTGGGTTTGACCAAAACACAACTGTTGGCAGTTGGGATTATTGTCCCTTCGGACTGTGATAGATAGTGGAGTAGAGAAAGGGTGATGTGCAGTGAAGATCATCAACTGGGCAGTGAGATATACTGACTGACCATTCATACAGTTGAATCATGTTTCACAGCACAGCGTGAATCAAAAATAACCCACAGTCTCTTGAGGCTTTTCTAGACACCTGTCTTTTCCATACCTATAGTATGTTTTTTATATTTTATTTTTAAACTATCAACTATCAAATATATATATATATTTAAAAATCCAAATGAATAAATATTCGCTTCTTACATGAGATTAAACTGAATTATTGAAAGTAAACTTCTAATTTAAAGAAAGGGAAAATGTAACTAGTTTAAAAGCATTTTAGATAAATTTCTATTACAGGCTTATAGTTCTGCCCTCTATCATGTTAATTTTTATTTGTTGATAATCTGACTAATCTGATAATAGCATCTGTTATCAAATAACTGTAGGTTTCTTCTTGTTTAACTAATGCATTAAATATTGTAAACAACAAAGGTTTTTAATGTTGGCAGACTGAACACAGATATTGTGGTCTTCCCATTTATTATTTCCAAATTTGTGAAGTTTAAAGCTAAGACATCCCTAAAATGTCCTCTTAAGGTTAATTTAGAACTTTTTCATATAAAACCATGAAGTTTCTGAGCCACAGTGACACACTGAGCAAAAGCCATGCGCAAGCAGCTAGGAAGTGCAGCTTAACAAGAAAATGTAGCAACAGTGTAGCAGCAAAATAAGTGAAGTATTTAATGAATTAATAAGGGGGAAATGTTGATTACTTCATATTTTTTGTTTAGTTTCTGTCTAAATAGCGTATTACTAAATAATTCTGATGCTTTAATGTAACAATTTTAAGGCTATGTGGCACATTAGCTTAAAGAAAAACCTGAAAGAGCAAATTTAACTATTTTTAAATAAAAGTAGCAATAATAGAAATATAGCCTACCTTATGGTAGCCTAGTTAAAGATAAGCCATTAACCAGGATCAGTTTATGGATAAAGAACATCAGTGTAATTTGACATTAGCACTGAGTATCACAAATATGTAACAACAACAATAATGTAGCTACAGGTGTGAAGCTCCCAGCTCTTTTTATTAGCTTTTTTTGTCCTTGAACAGCTTGTGTGTTTTGTGGTGTGTGTGTTGTGTGTGTGTGTGTGTATGTGTGTGTGTGTTGTGTGTGTGTGTGTTGTGTGTGTGTGAGAGAGAGTAGGAGAGAGAGAACACTAAGACTGGTCCTGCCAGGTTTCCTTTCCTCCTCAGGTACACTATATCTAATCAACCAAACCTTGCTGATGCTGGCTCTGTGGAAACATTATCTATTACTTTTAGTTTGTTCAGTTTCTGCCTCCATTGGCCCTAAGGCTTACACTGTTTATTTAACCACAGCCGCTGATAAATTCTTAGCTGAATACACTTCAGTAATGAGGCAAGCAAACAGGGCCTCCACAAGCATGCTCTGTTTGAGCAAAACAAACTGTATAAACAACAGTATAGTCTTAGTATAGTCCCAAGATTAACCTGGAATTTGCTGAATACAACAATTTAAAGATAAAATGGGATTCCAGACACTAATGACAGTTTATTAAACTCATGTAATTTGGAATTTACAACATTAATGTTTCAGGTCCAAGGACACAACCTGGCATGGAAAGCAGCTTCCAAACAGGTTTACAGCTGGAAAGGTACCGGCGCTGTTATGCAACTGGCTGTTTTATCACATCATAGCCAGTGATCGTGTAATACCAACAACTGTGAAGGCTGAATGCACTGTCACACAGTCCTGCATGGCTGTGATGTCATGAACGCCAGGTGCTATGAATCCATTTGGAAAAGAGAGAGGAAAAAAACCCATTAAAATCCCTGACTCATCATAAAAGAGGAGGGGGGTGGGTGGGCAGATGAGTTAGAGGTGAGGAGGACGAGATCTGGACGATTAGTCAGTTTTTCCATTAGACCAAGGCTGGCTGTCTGAAAGAAAAACAAGTGTGGATGTCACGTTAGGCCATGGTGACAGTGAGATGGCCTTTGGCTGAAGGCAGACGATTTGATGGAAAGGCTGCAAACACTGTGTCATAAAAATAAGCACCTATAACTCAATATGTGTGTATGAGTGTGTCACGAACCCTTTATCTCACACCTCAAGGTCTGACTCGGTGACATGGGTGAGGAACAGGCAGGTTTGGGACAGACAGAAACGCCTGGGAAGAGTAGTGTGGCTCTGCTCTGGCAAGGAAAGGGTGTAGTGCTGAGATATCGAGTGTCTGACACACTGAAAATGGCAGCTCTTCTCCAAAGCTGAGAAGTCGTCCTCCCACTCCAAACCTGCAGGCAAAACCAACAAAACAAACAGTCAGAGACAACAAAGTGTCAATAACCTGCAGCATCTGGATTTAGCAAGACTTACAAACATTAAAGTTTGCTAACCCTTGTATTGTCCCGCCCTGGTATTGTTACATTGCCAGAGGGCTTGTAGTCTGAAGTAGTTAGTGGCATAATCAGGAATTGTCCACATTAGTGTCAAAATATTATCTATATATGTATATATATTCTGTCTCTTTTAAAAAAAATAGTAACTCTTGGTTAATAATCCCTCTTGATGTCGTGTTCCAACATCCTGTTTCAGCCAGAATTACACCAAAACATTTCAGTACAATATACTGTATACTGTTTACATTCATCATTTCGAAAGCTGTGTGTTTTCTTTAATGCAATATTGTGTTTAATGGTGCAAATAGAGAAATTCATTCATTCAAAATTGAGCAAACAGATAGCAAATTAGATTGTAGATTTTCATCATATGCACTTCAGCGAATGTTGCAGTACCACACTGTAAAAATACCTAATTTTTAAAACATTCTAAAGTATTTTTAGTAAAATACACTTAAAATCATTTATATCATTACATTATTGTCACTGATAAATTAATGTCGAATTTTACGATTGTAGCTGGTCGATGTGGAGCTAATTGTAAGTATTTTATATACTGTTGGGTAGTTTATTCTATAACAGTTCAATCCATCACGTTATCATTTTATTTTTTGTGTGTAAAATCTTTGAATATTTTTGAAGTAACTGGTAATTACCCATCAAATCAATTTAGTCGAGGAAAAAGGACAATATTTCCCTCTTTGCAGTGAGTGTAGTATGAAATAGAAACACAAATACTTTACTTAAGTACATAACATGAGTAACTATACTTAGTTACTTTCCACCAGTGCAAAATAGTCTGCAGTAATGTTAAGTACACGGAAAATGAAATGTGGTTGCACATGTAAAATCACTGGTATAGTCCTTTAAAATAGTACCACTGTCTTCTAATATGACATCTGGCAGGTTGCAGGAATAGCTGCTTGGCAGAGATGTGTAGGGCCCAGAGTGCAGCTCCACGGTGGGACTCTCCTAAGAATAGTAGCAGTGGATAGTCAGTGGAAATTAAACAGGAAACGTCATATTAGTGAAGAGTCATAACCTTGGTTTGGATTAGTGGAACAATCACTGTGTATGTATTTAACCTCCATATGCCCAGTGGGAAACTAAGCCCAAAACCCACCAAGCTACAGTTAAATAGACAACAGGAGAACAGTACCTGATCAAACAGGTAGACCGTGACATCATCATTAAAGGACACACTCTTTTTCTTTTTTACAGTCCTGTCCCTCCCTGACAAAATTTGTGGAGCGCTGCAGATTCGACAGGATTTCAGAAGACTTTTAAAGTTGCATGTGTTAAAACTGTCTCTGCAGACCGGTTCCTGTTGAATCTCCTTTGAGTTGTCGGTGCTGGGACTGTGGGGCCAGTGGGCTGTGGAGCTTTTCAAATCACTTAACATGTTGTTTTCAATGATACTCCAACCAGTATCCACTATAGAGGTCCTACAATCCTCAGTGTGGCAAGTGTCACCAAAACGTTGCAGCAGTATGTCCTCGTCACAGAAAATGATAAAGCTATTATGATCTAATGTAAGAGTGTCCTGCAGGGTCACGATGTTTAAATCCTTTTTGATGAAACTGAAAATGTCCCGCATATTTAAAATAAGTCTCTTCCATTGGGCCTCCTTCGGAAAGTTGGACACAAAAGAAGCTAAAGGAGTGAACTTTGAACGATGCCTGGACTCCTTCGGAAGACCACAGTGTTGAAGGGAGATAGAGAGGGATGGCGGCCATGTTACCAAGCTTGATCTGCAGTCACTGTTCCTCCATAACTGAGGGACTGTACTTCCTCTTTGTTCAAGGATACAGAAGCAGGTGATCGGCTGCTCCTCAGCAGCCCGGATCATCTGACCTGAGGTCATCAACGACTGGAGCTCTTCATCCCTGCATGAATGATTCACAGTGACTCATTGAGACTTCACATTCAAACTGCTTCTCTTCATCATCACATGTAAAGGAAATCAAACTATTTTTGAATCACTGTAATGGCTTACTCTGGAAGGGAACAGAGCCATCATTAATTTTATAGTAACACCTTTGTGTTTCCAAGACCAAATGTCTGCTGTGAAAAAGGTCTACAATAACACTGTTCCTACTAAGGTAATTGCTGAGAACTGGGAACACAGAAAAAAAGATTTCTGACAGGGCAATTACAGGATTTCAGCTCATTGGTGGATTATTATTACTAATTTTCTGTTTAACATGTTGTCTCCTTACTCACGATGTAAATGCTAGGTTGTATGAAAACCAGAATTATACTTTAAAGGCATGACTTTATGTAATCATAATGTGGCAATTACCTAAGTTGCAGTTGCATTGCAATGTGACAATCTGCAGGTCCTCTCAGCTTTACGAAGCTTTATAGTGACTTTTAGCTCATTGTTCAGCTTAACTGTTCTGACCAACTCTCACCAGTCTCATAGCGTCATTTTCAGCTGTAGCAGGCTGCTGTTTTCAGTGAATAAGCTCCAAAAACCCCGTGTACACTACCTGCTCAGCAGCAAACAGCAGGTAGACACAGTTAGCGACTAGTTGATGAACATAGTGGATCATTTAGCAGCTAAAGAGCCAGATATTTCCCTGAGGAGTTGGTAGAGACCAAAAACAGAGCTAAAAGAAAGAATGTTGGACTTATACTGATCAGGTGAACAGAAACATTACCCCAATTGAATGATAAGATAAGATGTTCCTTTATTGATCCCTCTGTAAGTGAAATTCAAAATTGGCACAGCAGCACATCCAGTGTGTCAGACTTGGTATCTTGTGGTGAAGTTGCAGATTACAAATCAATGAACACTGCTCCTGGGAATGAAAATTGGGCTGTGAAGTGTGTAAAAGACACTACGGTGGCCGCAAAAATTGTGAAAAACATAAAAAAGGCCCTATCTACATCTGTTTGGTTAGTCTGTTCTGTGCTACTGTAGAAACATGGCAGTTCAACATGACAGACTCCATGGAAGCAAAGCATCTGTAGATAAAAACAGCTCATTCCAAAATCTATGACTACCTAAGGTTATATTCAATTTCTGACAATATAGCCTCCTAAATGTTACACACAGGACCTTCATTTGACTGTTTGTGCCTGGCCAAAGGGCTCAATTCAATAAAGATTCAACAAGATAAGGTTGGTTTACACACAAATGTCAAATCCGTTTCAGTGTCTGTGTTGTTTTATTCCACGGGACATTTTAAGAGGTTGACTGCCCTTCAGTGTCTGTTAACAACAGGATGTACTAAAACTGATCGGTCAGCCTTTGTCCATTGGATGAAACAGTGCACACACAAACGCACGCATGCACACAAACACATACATTATTTGGCCACTCACTCCTGAGCCTGAATAAATATCGGGGCCCATCCATCCGCGGAGACAAAGACGCAATAGGAAACTTTCACCGCTCTGCAGTAACCAAGCAACCGCTGGATGAGTGACTCAGGAAAGGAAGAGAGGAGCTGACTCACAGCAGCTGTGACGTAAAGGATATAAAAGGACACACACACACATGCACTACTGTAGGGTCACACACACACACGTATGCAGTAGGCCGTGAAGGCTGTAATCTGCCCTGTTTTGGGTAAATTAACACCTCACTGCGTAACAGGTGCAGGAGCTCAGGGTAAAGACAGATTATAAACAGCCAATACACAAACAGCCCCACCACCACAAGAGGCAAAGACACAAACGCTGACAGACCATCAATCACATGAATAAAAATAAAAATAATACCTTTTCTTGGTTTCTTTCTCACTGCATCTCCTTTTAGAAAGCCAGTTCAAACCATCGAATGAAATCACCACTGTAGCCCCATCCCTGAAGTATTTAAACTCTGCAGAAATAAAGAGAGGAAACATGATTCTCAACTGATATGCAATGCCTCAAAATCTTGCTGCATCATGACGCTGCAGAATGTGTTGCAACACACTTAATCTCTCTGCATCCACCATGCATGACACCAGCATTTCCTTTTCCTACCTTGCATCGTGCGAGCGCCACTCACTCCCCTGGCTTCTACTGCAGGACAGAAACCTCACTAAGGGCACCGAAAGAGACACGCTAAACATATGGACTAAGAGAGGAGAGATGCACAGAAAAAGAGAGGAGAGGGGGGAGAAAAGTGAAGGGGTTAGGCAGGATAGAGAGTGAATGAATGAATGAGGGGGGTGGGAATGAAATAAGGGGGGGGGGAGGGTGAAAGAAGAGTAAAGGGAGGTTATGAAGAGGATGAGATGGAAAAGGATGTGAGGACAGAGAAAGGACAAAGAGCTCACATGTACAGAACTCTCCCTGAGGCTGCTGGCCTTTCTGCAGTGAGAGAGTGCAAGATGAGGATCAATAACCTATCCGGTTTAATGTAGAAGAGCTTCCTAAATGATTAACAGCAGAGTGAATGTCACAGTGACCTACTGTATATAGGAAATGGTTACTGTGGATTATACGTATTCATTTTACCATACATACATTATGCTTCATGCAAACAATCTTTAAGTAAAGTGTATTTTTCATATCAACATGGTTATATTTGTCTTTTAAGGAGCTCTTCCATACACAGTTTGAACCAACAGAAGGTTTTGATAAAGGCATTAATGCATTATGATCTGTAAAGAATGAATGGATAGTTCTGTTTACCTTTCATAAAGTCATACCGACCACTTATAAACACTTCATTATTACACCTTATTGTGAAATGGTTCCATAACACTACTGTACATGCTCCTAACAGTATAAACTGTAAATCAATGCATTCTTTTTCTGATTTGTCATTCCCCTCTGGAAACTGGCTTTAAATCACAGAGGTGAGTTAAACAGTCCTTATACCTGCACATGCAGCTTGAAGTAGTCTGTTTTCACTAGACTAGAGAGCAGTGGATCTCAAAAGGGAACCCAGAGCCTTCAGTAAAATTAGTATTTGATTATTCTGTATTTTGTTAAGTTATAACAGCAATTATTTTGTTTTTAATTTAAATGGTTGTGCAAAAAGATTCACTGTGCCGACAGTAGAAACTAGAGTGTATGATTAATTTCATCCCTACTTTGATAGAATGAATATATAATATATTTTAACAAGTTTACTGTAGCCTAAAGGAAGACCATAAACTGTAATTCAACATTTTTATCATTTAAATCAAGAATTTAGAGATTTAAAAACAATAAATCATTTTTAATGTAAAGCAATGTTTATTATAACAATATAATATTAATGATTAGATTTAAAATACAATTGCAAACGGAAAGGTGAAACAAAAGATTAAGTTCTGTAGGTTCTGAGACTGTATATTGTATTTGTGGGCTACATGTGTGGAAAGCCCCGCAGCCTATGTTTTTGGTGCATCATCTCACTAGATGCAACAGGGAACATTCGCTCCCTCTAGAGGTTGAAAGCAGAGTAGCATGCAGCTTTAGTCAGATCTGAGGCAGAGGAGAGAACTGCAGCAGAGCTTTTACTGTATTGTTCTCAGGCAATGAGTGTTGTATACATTTAGCTAAGAGGTGTACAGTGCAAAGTATAAACTATAAAATCATAATATAATAATGGAATACTTGGCTCTCTGTGTACACATTAAACTATGCTTCCACTGTAATATTATTTATAATCACTAGTATTATCATGTAACTTCCAAGCTCCCACATTTATCAGGAAGTTCTCTCGCTGCTGTAGTCCTTCCCCTGGCAACAAAATCACTGATGCTGGAGTTCTGCTTTACACACCCAGGCAGCATCATGATGTTGTTCCCAGGAGGCAACACTGTCACCATTCAGTCCACCTCTGGTGCCCAAGAGAGGGGAAATAAATAAGAAAACAAGGGTACTGAAGTAAAAGAGACATAGAGATGGACAGATGGTGTTTCCATCCAGAATGAGGAAGGTGATTGCATTTCTTTCCTCATTTTGCTTTTTGCTCCCTTCCTCCCACATCATCCTTGTCGTCCAGCGAGGCATCGTGTCACCCAGCAACCTGCACTCACAGATCCATATCAGGTCAGCCAGGGCACTCGGACTGCTTACAGTACAGTGTTTCAATAAAGTCAACTCTTTTTTCACTGGACTTAGCAGTACATATGAGGATGTGATACAGTCGCTGAGCAGAAAGCCGTCTCACTGGCGCAAAATCTGAGCTTGTTCCGGTCTGTTCCACTTTCTATTTTCACATTGCAGTAATGATTGATGTCCGCTGTCTAAGTTGCTCATAATCCGATATCACGACAACTTCTGCATCCAAATGTCCAGATGAAAGAGTGATACATATTTGGTTTCAGGCCTTCTGAGTGGCTGGGTAGAAGCTGAGGAAGCCTAATTTTATTATATGCTGTAGTTTATTTAAGCCGGATAAAGCAGTGAATATCATTTATCCACTGATCTACTCTGCTCCTTTGACCAGAGATGGGCTGAAAGCCATCAAGCTGGTCTATTTGTTTTCCAACCAAAGCCAACTCTCTCATCTGGCTCAAGCCCACAATCCCCCACAGCGGGGAAACCTGACCTCAGGGGCATA